TGCCAAAGTCTATGGCTTAACAAACTTCAAGGAAATAAACAAAATGGCAAGAGAACTACAAATGAAAAATTTATGAAACTCATCAACCAATTGCAATGTATAAACTTTACTTGGATCCTAATTTAAAACTTAGATGTTGATTGAAATGTTAATTCTGAGATACCGTGAAATTTTAACACTGACTGGCAGGCCATAGGATGACAAAAAGGAACTGCTGTTGTTACTTTAGTTGCAATAAAAGAAGTACATTATGGCTTTAAAATCCTTATTTTTTCAGAGCTCTATACCACAATTCTTATGGTGAAGAATGTATTTAGGATTTGCTTCAAAATTATCCAGTGGAGGAGGGCATATGATGAAACAAGAACGACTAATAGTTGATAAATGTCAAAGCAAGGATCATACATACATGGAGGTTCATTTCCCATAATAAAAAAACAAAAAAAATCATGGTACCAACCACTGGTTTACAATAACATGAAGGAATGCTTATTACAGAATGCTAAAAGAAACAAATGTGCATATGTCAAAATTTCAAAGCCTAAGGTTAAGGAAGAAAAGGGAGTAAGAAAACCAAACTGAATTTGTGGGTGAGTTGATTATTTTTATCTGCTTGTATTAGATTATTGTCATTACGTGTTGCTAATGAGTTCAGGAGTAGGCAGGTAATTCAAACTAACTACCTTAAGAGAGCTGGGTATAAAACACCAGTGGAGGAGCCCAGAATAAACTAAAAAAATGAAGTGGCTCAGTCAGTTAAGCATCTGCCTTTGGCTCAGGTCATGATCTCAGGGTCCTGGGATCTAGCCCCTCATCAGGCTCCCCACTCAGCAAGGAGTCTGCTTCTTCTTCTTCCTTTGTGCTCTCAAGAAAATAAGATCTTCCAAAAAAATTTTTTTAAATAATGCCTCAAAGGGTTTTCATTTTCAAATAAATCCTATAAAATCAGTTTTTAAACAGATATTCAAGTATCTTCATTTTTAGGGTGACCATGTCATTTGTACAGTAGCCAAAGCAAGCTGCTTTGAAGGCATAAGGAGTAACAATCAAACTGGGATGGTACAGGAAAACCAGACCACCTGGTCACCCTATTCACTTTCTATAAACATAAACTGAGGAATGAAGTTTGATTGCTTGTTTGGGTTTGTGAACCGCCTAAAGTCAAATGAATTCACCTCATAAGAACTAGAGAGACTGGAGCCCAAAGTGGCAAAGAGATTTGCCCAAAGTCACAGTATCAACTGGAGAGCCTGGCACTAGAATTCAGACCCAAACTATTTAATAAGTGGTACTACCACCTGTTCTTTTTTTTTTTTTTTTTTAATTACATATGTCCTGTTTCTTTTTTCCACGAAAAGAATCTCCTCAAAAATGTGTTCTTCAATCAAATAACTAAAAATAAGGCAAAAAATAATACAACGGCAGGAAGGTGAAGAATGGCAAATGCTTACAAAGCCATATATTTTTATAGGTCAACATATATATATATACATACACACACACACACACAAACATACACACACACCCTTATAAACACTTTTTTCTACATAGTGAACAACTCTTCCAACTTTAAAAGACATTTCTGTACCATGGATAATGTCAGAATAAAATAATAAAAAAAAAGGCAGTAACTGGCCCTTTTCCTTAAGACTAAAGAAAACCATACACATACATGGAGGCACTTAGTCTCCCAAATGTTAATTCTCTTCTGGGTACCTCACTGAATAGGCAAGAACCAGGACTTCAGACGCTGCTATGTGTTCTGCAATATACAGCTTAGGAAATGGGGACTCTCCAGAGCAGACGGTCTCACGGCTATTACCTGTCTAAAGAATCTGCTTGGTTCCAATACTCATACCCTTTGTATTATCCCATACGGCTACTGAAGTCAGAATAGGCACTAAATTTCAGAAATATGCAATTTTTTTTTACTGTTTAAAGGAAAATCTGCCAGCCCAACTTTCTAATATGAGAGAAAAAGGGGGAGCCTGGGTGGCTCAGTGGATTAAGCCTTCTGCCTTCGGCTCGGGTCATGATCTCAGGGTCCTGGGATAGAGCCCCACATCGGGCTCTCTGCTCTGCAAGGAGCCTGCTTCCCGCTCTCTGTCTGCCTCTCTGCCTACTTGTGATATCTGTCTGTCAAATAAATAAATAAATAAATCTAAAAAAAAAGAAAGAAAGAAAGAAAAGAAAAGAGAAGTAGTATAGGCTTTAGAATCAGATCAACCTACATCTGAATCCTTACTTTGCCATTTATAAGCTCAATAACTGGCCGATTTAAATGAACCTCAATTTCCTCCTATATAAATGAAAAATATCACCACGGTTATAAAGACTAAATCAAGCGGTACAATGTCTGGTACATAATAGGAAGCTCTTGTTATTTTTACCCAAAGGTTTCATTAAATGGCCAATTCATATAGGATAAAAACGGTTTTTAAAGCAGCTGATTACTAAAGTCATGGCAGAATCTATAAAGAGGATCTCCTGGATCATCATTTAACCCCAAAACTGCACATCAAGTACACAATGAAGGTAAATGGCAGATTACAAAATATATGGGTAGATCTGTTTTTCCAAACTGTAGTAGGAAAAAAGAGATAACTAGTCATCATTAGCCCAAAAATAATTCCTTCAAATGCTAATTTTAAAAACACCTTTGTGTGTTGTTTCTTCACCAATTCCACTACTGTTACCTCCCAAATATAAGCTTCCAGCTGCAGGGACTATAACTCATAACATTTAAAATACTAGGAGGGTGCCTTACACACAGATGTGCTCAATACTGTTAAATGAAAAGATGATAAGGTTTCCTTAACAACCATTTTAAAAAGACTTTAATGACAGAGACCTTTCACTTCAAAACATTAAAATGCAAAAGGTTCATAATAAAAAGAAAGCTCCCTCCACCTAAGAAATTTTCAACTATAAGCAGCACAGTTAGGAAAGCAGAACAAAATTCAAAAAATAAACTGCAATTTATAAAGAAACTTTAAGAAAAAATAAAACACCAACACAGTGAGCACCTCAACAGAGGAAAGAACTATCCATTCCATTTCCAGGAACAACTTACCTTTCTTCACCTTCCTTTTGCAGATTTGAAATCCAGATTCTCACACAATCACTGGCCTTCACTTCTGTTTGATTCAATAGCATACACACTACTGAGTCTCTCTCTCCTTCGCTATTAAATACATCAGTAGAAAGCACACTGGTCTTATTCTGCTTTCTAACTATGAAAACATAAGAGCAAAGGTCCTGATCCAAAATTCTCAAAAAAAGAAGAAAAACAAAAAATTTCTGGAGTTAAACAATTTCATTAGTAATTATAGAGGTGCCCGGCTAGCTCTGTCGGTTAAGGGAAGGACTCTTGGTTTCAGCTATCATGGGTCATGAGATGGAGCCATTATAGGGCTCCACACTCAGCGGGGAGTCTGCTTAAGATTCTCTCCTTCTGACCTTCTCCCCCACTTCACACTTGCTCTAAAATTAAAAAAAAAAAAAATAAAAATTAAAGTGGGGCGCCTGGATAGCTCAGTCGCTTAAGCATCCACTCTGGGTTTCATGATCTCATGGGTCCTGAGGTCAAGCCCTGCTGTGGGGGGAGGGGGGGAAGACACACTTCCCCACTAGGAGTCTCCTTGGATATTCTTCTCTTCCTCTGTCCCTTCACCCAACCCCACTCTCTCTCGTATAAATAAAATCTTAAAAAAAAAAATTATAAAGTCTCCCATCATTTCCCTGCCCAAACATCCTAATTCAACTTGTATTTTTTTTTCATGGTCTCTCCTGCCCTGTAACTGCCTTCCATATGTATTTCAAATTTTTCCCCCCAAATGTGAAAAAGACGACAGTGTCTTTATGCGAGGACAAGAGTTAAAAAATAAAATATACTGGGCATCTGGGTGGCTCAGTGCTTAAGCGTCTGCCTCCGGCTCAGGTCTTGATCTCAGGGAGCTGGGATGGATCCCATCCCTAGCGTCCCTGCTCAGAGGGGAGTCTGCTTATCCCTCTGCCCCTCTCCCTGCTCATGCTCGCATTCTCTCTCAAATAAATAAAATTTTTAAAATAAAAGAAAAAATAAAACATATTAAAGTAAGCCGTTTCCAAACAGGTGAGATACCCATCAGAGTGTGTGCTGTTGCAGGAAACAGAATGGAGAGCCGTGAATGGGAGTCTCTGCACTTCATATCTGCAAAAGAAGAGAATAAAAAGGTTAACTTAACTCTGGACTTAGAACACCTTTTTTTACCTGTTTAAAGCAATGCCCACAAACATTTTAAATCAAAGATAAAAATGTGCTAAGCCAAAGGCTTGGGGGTGAATTCCACCTTCTTGCCCTTAATACATAAACTGTATCTACAGTACCAGAAATCAATATTTGAACATTCCTGTATCACATCATCCTAATACTAAAGGGTAAGAAAATCTTAAAACTATCATTTTAATTAGCCAACTGTGCTTCCCTACAGCAGTCACCTAAGGGTAATTAGTGCTAACAGTAAGAGTAACAGTTAAGAGGTTCACTTCTAACAAATACTCTTCCCCCATAAGGAGTGACAGTTAACCTTCTGGGAACCCAAATGCACACACCCCTTTCTCCAACCTCGCTAAAGGTGAATTCAAGAAAAAAAGTGCCTCGCGAGCAAGCAGTGTCCCCCGCCCAGTACCAGGTTCTCGGCAAAACTCCTGCATTCTGCATTAACCCACCAGGCCACCGGAGTGGGTGCTCCAGGGCCAGGTCGCGGAAAGAGCCCGGGGGTGTGGGCTCCGCTCCGCCAGCGGGTCGGGTACCCGCGCCCCACACCTGGTAACGCACCTGCCCTCACAGGCGCGCACCTGGGGCGGAGACCGCCCTCTCCCGGCCTCGCGCGCCTGCCCCCACGAGAAGCGCGCGCCCTGCGCCGCACGGGACCCGAGGGCGTGCAGGGGCCGTCCTGGCTCGCTCCCTCCCTGGGGACCAAGGGGGCCCGGGGACGTGCTGGGGGCTGGCGCGGTACCTTTTGGACAGATCCATAAGGACCCCGGAGAAGAGCTTCTCCCCTAAACGGAACGACACGACGAGCGCGTCCTCAATGATGTGGTCCAGCGTGACCCGCACCTCGGAGCCGGGAATCAGCTGCGACACCGCGGAGTCCCCACCCGCCGGCGGCACGAGCGCCGGGGCTGCGGGCTGGGGCAGCGGCGGTTCCTGGCGCTCCTCGGGAGCTGGGGGCTGCTCGGGCGGCGATGTAGGGGAAGGTGGAAGGTCGGGTCTTTCCTGAGGCGCGGCTGCCGCCGGCTCCGCCACCCGGGCAGGCAGCTTCTCCTCAGCCTCCAGCTCCGGCCCCGCCGCCTCCGGGCTGCGGGCGAGCTCCCCCGGCGGCGGCGGTGGCGGCGGGAGCGGCGGCTCGTCGGCCTGAGGAGAAGACTGCTGCCCGTCGGCCTCGCCGTCCGGCACGGATGCTTCCGTCGCGGTGACCGGGAGGGGGTCAGTGCCGGCCTCGCTGCCGGGGATGGGCTCCATCTCCGGCTCGGCCTCGCCGGCGCCCCCCTCCCCGGGGGACGCTGCAGTCGCTGCCGCCTCTGCAGCCACGGCCGCCATTTTCTTCCTGGCTTCTCCCTCCTCCAGCTCGGGGTGCAACGGCAGCGGCAACGCTGCTTGGTTCCCTGGGCCTTCCCCTCCCTCCCTTGAACAGTTTCGCCCCGCCCTTTCCCTGATGCTCGTTATTGGCACCGCGCCATTGGTTCCGTCCTACACCCCTCCCACACTTGTGACACACCATTGGCCAGATGGGGGCGTCTATCACCCAGTCAGTCCCTCCCTCCCATATAGAGTAGGAACTTCTCATTGGCCGGATGAATTGTCAAATGTTGAATCTTAGAGGAGGAGTGAGGGAACGGGGGAAGTCACAAAAGCGGAGCCATACACTTATCGCCTCTTTCTATTGGCTGGAAGAGGAAATAGAGTTTTACGGTTGGCCTACGCTCTTGCCCATTATCAGTCAGGCTTTCAGAGGTGGGATAAAAGAGAGAATCATGTGGCGTGCCAGTTCTTTCAAAGGCGACCGAAGGGAGGAGTAACAAGGGAACGCGGGAGGGGAGCCGCTTCCCAAGAATCCCTGCGCGGAGGTCCCTTAGAATAAATGTTATTTCTAGGCACGGACCTGCTTGCGGCCGTGTGTGGGTACCACAGGCTTCTTTGAGAAGGCCAACTAAAGTTTGAAAATAATTGTCGACACTGTTTTGAGCGCCTACTAGGCTAGGCACCGTGCTAGGTACTGGGGATAGAATGATGTGCAAGACATTCTCTATAACCCCGTGACTCTAGACACTCCAGACCCCACACGAAGAGAGTTTTCCTTGATTTCTATCCACTTTCTAGGAACAATGCACTTACTTATTTCAAAGTAGGAAAATGCTAATGGAACGAGGAGGGACACCATGCATACTGTATCAAACTGATGAACGCCCCAGACAGCAGTCCTGAGGCGCTGGAGTTACATGTGAATATTGTTTGCTCGCCAGATTGACTGGAAAGTGGACGCACCTGGTTTCTTGTTTAAGCCCTTTCCTTTCCTGGCCTCTTTTATGCCACAGGTTCAAAAAGCCTTTCTCTTCAATGTCCTGATGCTCCTACTTCCCTTCCCAATTTGAGTCTCTTGATTTGTTATGTCCAGGAGAATCTACTGAACCCATTTATTTCAGAATACACCTCAGAATCAGCCTATTCTCCAGAAGAGATGATAAGAACAGAAATGAAATTCTAAATAATTATAGTTAACATTTATTGAGCATCTTCTCTGTATGAGGGTTTAGTACAAACCCTTAGTAGAGCATTCCCTTAATCCTTATGCTATTCCTATGAGACAGGTAATATTATTATACTCATTTTACAGATAAAGAAACTGAAGCACAAAGAGGGTGCCCGCTGTCAGCTATTAAATTTCAGAGAATTTCAGGTTTACATTGAAAGGGCTGAAAATGGCGAAAACTAAGTATCACCATATGTTCTGATTATTTCAAGCCATGGGGCTCTTGGGAAAAGCCAGTAGGAAATCCTAGCCACTGCAGGTTTAGCAACTCCAAAGTACTGGAAGAAAATTGAATTAATGAGTGTCCACTTTGTCCAAGATTTTCCCATAAGCTCTCATTTAAAAATCCTGTGAGTTAAGTCTTCTCCTTCTATTTCAGATGAGAAAACTGACCCTTAACCAGGTTAAAGATCTTCTCAGAGGTCACACAGCTAGCCGAAGATCCTACCCATCCCAACTCTGCCAAGTGTGTGACTATTCCACTCACTCAATCATTGAACAAATAATTTATCTCCTGCAGGCCAGATCCCTGCAGTAAACAGAGATGGATCTCGCCTTACAGGGCTTTCACCGTGATCACTTGCTCTATAATTCACCATAGTCAATTAATTAAATATTATATATAGTTCTACGAAACTCCTAGAGCCATGCTGAGTCCCCACATAATTCTCAGAAGGAAAAAAATATAGTTCGGGTCCTGGACCCTGATTAACTCTGGCAGTAATTTATTGCAAGACTGCAGTGAATCACTTAAATTAAGGATTTATGGCAAATTGCGGCATACCAAGTCCTCCTTCTAAGTCACCATTTTCACCCTGCAACTGAAGAGCCTCTCCTGGGTCACTATGTTCACTTCAAGTATAACCCCTTCTGCTTGTCTTTCAAGGCCTTCTCTGTTCCTTCTCTGTCTTTCAGATTTGTTTTCTACTATTCTTCAAGCTTGCTAATATTGGAAAGATCTGGTCATGCATCTTTCATCCATTTATTCAACAAATAAATGTTGAAGGCCTACTATGTGTCAGTTAGTTACTGGCTAGCCAGGCCAGAAGCATGCAGAAAGAACATGAGAAACAGTGGTTGGCCTCCTAGAGCTTATTTTTCTAATTAGGGAGTTAGAAAACTAGCAATGAATAAATAAGATGATTACAGACTGTGACAAATACCATAAAGGAAATAAACAGAATGGGGTGATAAGCAGTTGTTGCTAGCAAAGGAGCAGAGGGTATCTTCTTTAGGTAAGGTGGTCAGAAAAGGTGTCTTATCCTCTGAGGATAAGACATTTTAGCTAAAATACAAAGGATAGGGGTGTCTGGATGGCTCAGTCAGTTAAGCATTTGCCTTTGGCTCAGGTCATGATTCCAGGGTCCTGGGATGGAGTCCACATCTGCTGCTTCTTCTCCTTCTGCCATTCCCCACCCCGGCTTGTGCTCTCTGGCTCTCTCTCTCTGTCAAATAAAAAAATAAAATATTTTTTAAAATAAAATAAAAAATCAAATGCAAAGGATAAGAAGGAGGCAGTTATTGACACTGTTGGACGAACATTTGTGTCAAAAGGAACAGCAAGGGGCGCCTGGGTGGCTCAGTGGGTTAAAGCCTCTGCCTTCAGCTCAGGCCATGATCCCAGGGTCCTGGGATCGAGCCCCGCATCGGGCTCTCTGCTCAGCAGGGAGCCTGCTTCGCCCTCTCTCTCTCTCTCTCTCTCTCTGCCTGCCTCTCTGCCTACTTGTCATCTCTGTCTGTCAAATAAATAAATAAAATCTTTAAAAAAATAAAAAAATTTTAAATTAAAAAAAAAAAAAAAGAAATAGCAATTGCTAAAGTCCTGAGGCAAAAGAGGGCTTCACTTATTCCAGAAACAGAAAGACACTAGTTGGGTTGAAGAGGAATGAGCAAGAAGATAGGAAGGTGAAACAGGTTTAGAAAAGAAGACAGGAGCCAAATCTTATTTTATGTACTGCAGATATAAAAACAAGAGATTCTACCCTAAGGGAACCTAACTTTTACATGTGCTGTTGTCCCTTAGTCACCCCTGCATTCAGCCTCTTCCTGGCACAGAATCAGCAAAGAAGAAGCCCTTGGTATTTGTGGAATGGATGGCCACATGCTATTTGGGACTAGATGGATGGTTAGATGAATGGATGGAGGATTGGGTAGATGTTTGGAAGGTTGGATGGTGTCTTAGTCCAGTCAGCCTGCTAGAACAAAATGCCACAGACTGGCTATTATAAACAACAGAACAGGCTTAAAAACAACCGAAATGTATTTCTTACAGTTCTGGGGGCTGGGAGTACAAGATCAGGGTGCCCCCCATGGTCTGGGTGATGGCCCTCTTCCAGGTTGCAGACTTTTGGAATACTCCCATGGCAGGAGGGGACAAGGGAGCTCTCCTTGACCTCTTCTAGGATATTAATCTCATTCATGAGGAGGACCCCACCCTCATGACCTAATCACTGTCCAAAGACCCCCCCCCCCCATCTCTTAATATTATCACTTTGAGGGTCTGGGATTTCAACATACGAATTTTGGAGGTACACAAACATTCAGACTGTAACAGATGGATAATTGGTTGATTGGACAGATCACTGAATGGATGGACAGATGGGTGGACAGATAAATGGCAGTGATAAGGAATACGACTGACGACTCACTGTCACAAGCAGACTTTGATCTTGATCTCTGTGGGGGTACTACAGTTTCACGGCTAGAAACTCAGAATGGTAGTGAATGAACCTGTATGTGACTCCCCAGTTGGCCTTTGATGAGCTGTATGACCCAGGCATGATCTTGGGCTCGTTGGTTAATCTCTGCTTCCTCATTTATAAAATATCCTAATAATAACTACATAAGGGTGTGTTTGTTTTTAAGTTATATAAATACATAAAGTGCTTAACAGAGAACCTAAATCATAGTACGCACATCTCCATCACTGTTAACAACTAGATCTAGAAATTCAGGCTTTTTTTTTTTCATATTTTATCTATTTATTAGAGAGAAAGAGACAGAGATAGTGAGAGAGATAGCAAGAGCAAGCACAGGCAGGGAGAAGTGAGAGATGCAGGCTCCCAGCTCAGCAGAGAACATGATGCGGGGCTCAATCCCAGGACCCTGGAATCATGACCTGAGCCAAAGGCAGACACTTAACCGACTGAGCCACCAAGGTGCCCCAGTCTTTTTTTTTTTTTTTTCAGTTTTATTTATTTTCTTTAGTTATCTCTACACTCAGTGTGGGGCTCAACCTCACAACACTGAGATCAAGAGTTGAATGCTCTTCGGACTGAGCCAGCCGGGCACCCCTAGAAATTCAGTCTTATTCCATCTGGTATTGATCACATTTCAGGGCTCAGACTCCCAATAACCAACCTTGTGAAAGACTAAATAAAACCCAAACACCAGGGGGTTGGTTCATGGAGAGGTTTAAATATGGCTAATTGTGTTTTGTTTTGTTTTCTTTTTTCTGGGCCCACTCTCTCAGGAAATCAAATTATAGACAAAAAATAGCATGGGGAGAAGAGACTCAGGGCAAAAGAAACGAACTCACAGCACATGTCTGCAAAGCCACAGTGGCTAAGCGAATCGTTCATCCTTTTAGGATGATTTCTATCCAGTGACCAATATTTCTCTTCTAAAATCAGATCACCTACTCTCAGATCAAGACCTCGATGGATAACTACTGACAAACATGTCAGTAATTGGCTCTCTCTCCTTGTGTCTCAATGGTTATCAATGTAAGAAGGGATCTCTCTGGGGTTAAGCCTCTGCCTTCAGCTCAGGTCATGATCTCAGGGTCCTG